AATTTACTTATAAAATTTAGGTGCGTCGATCATTTGACCCATAGTAAAAATTTTGCATGTGACAAATCGTATGACTGATATCAGATATTAAGGAATCCAAATAGAGCAATAGAGAAATGGCCTGGAGTAGGCAAGATTTCCTAATGAAGTACTAAATATGTGCGTACCTCTAGTTTTAATTTCATTGAATTAGATGCTCTAAATGCTGTCATTTATAAATTAAAGTATCTAATTATTATTTCCAATTACTAATCAACGATGGGGTGGTCACAATTTATCGTTATATGAGCTAGGTTTACGTACGTACGCTCCAAGTCACGTGACCTTGACACATGTGCACCCGAATAGTTTTGGGTAACATCACTATTTAATACCATCTTTAGCACTAAAGAATGAAAGCTTTATATTTCTGAATATAGAGGCCGATTTAATTCCAGGTTAAGTGGTACATGACACAACTAAGTAATTACATCATCTTTTAATTAGTGCCCCAAGATCATTTTAAATGTTCGTTTTTTCGTCTTTTCTTCGTTTCGCATGTGTCACTATTTCCTTTTTCTTTTGAGATGTGCTAAAAATCTACTGTGTTACAACAAAATCTACGGTGACTCTCGCGCTTAGTCTCGTATCATTCAATGAAGTTTTCAATAGTTTCAATGAAGTTTTCAATAGTTTTCAATGAAAGCTACGAAAATGATCATGACGATCAAGAATGCTATTTGTTAAACTATTTAATTTATTTCACAAATTCATTTACTTTGTTTTGTCTCCGGAAAATAAACGCTTGCATTGATTAATGTCGCGTGGTTAACAATTACTTAATGATATCAATTATAACAAAGCAAAATGTAAAATAACAAAGGCCACCTTTTTAATCCATGATGATTGAAGTATGAACAAATAGGTAACACTTCCAACGCATTTGACATCTGTCAAAAGTCAAATGTTAAAATGTTAAAATTCGGGCTCATACATATCGTATACTATTATTATTTTTCCGAACTTATGATATAATGTCAATTCTTTTGATTTCATTCAATGTTACAAACAACGTCAAGTGATTTCATTTTGCTTGACTTTCATTGAATTTCTTTAAGAACCATGAGAGAAGATTCATTCATTTACCGAGGACGGACTTCTCCAGAGCGATATTATAGTCTTAATTTAAATAATAAATTTTTATATTTCAAAAATATTTAAAAAGGACGAGAATTTTTCTGACTTAAAACTATCGTATTCGTTTACTATCGATATGGCAAAAAAAACACCGAACTCTTTTATAATATATAGAAGAGAAAAACAGTTTTGGCTACGCCAAAACTTTCCAAGGTTGCCTCAGAGGGCATTGTCTGGAATAGTGTCCCGAATGTGGAAACGAGAACCTCCCGCTACCCGTGGGAAGTACGAGAGCATGGCACTCAGGCTTTCTATCGATAACACAAACAGAATCGTGAACAATCGCGTAGTTCCAATGGACTACGAAACCGGGGCAACCCACTTTTTTGTTATTGAAAATGTATCTAATGAAAGCCCTCCCAACGATAAGGAATCTGATCCTTATGACTTCGTGAACAGTATTTTTGACTTTGACGCTTAAATACCATCTCCGCTTTTTGCGTACGTACGTGGGAAACAATAAACCCTTCGCTATAAATGATAAGGAATTAAGAATAAAAAAAAATATATCGATCGATATTGCTAAGGACTATAAATATAAAAAATTAATTTATGTAAAGAATTTGACGTAAAAAATATTTTTTTCATAATCCTAAGTTTTTATATAGTATCATAGAATCTTGTAGTAGCTTAGGTTTTATGCGATTTTCTTCGAAGACCTCCGTTAGGTTACGTATAAAAACCTACGGGTGTAAATCACAAACACTAAGAAAGTTCGATTCATAAGTTATTAAATAAAATAATTAATCTTTTAATAAATCTTAAAAAACTTTAAGAAATAAATGATGTTTGAAAAAAACTATAGCAAAAATTGTGCATAAAGACGTAAATATGTCAAATTGATGTTGTCATGTCGTAACTACGTGGTTATGATAACCGACATTATCATAACTAAGAGGTTTGCCATAACATATTTAATCAACATATATAGTTAGAAAAAAGTTTTTTAAATAAAATAAAAGGGAAATAATTTCTAAACGAGAAACCGGAGAGTTATTAATTTGTATACTTATATAAGTTAATATAAATCTAAATATGAATTTTATTCATGATTTTAGCGTTAATTTAATAGTAAACCATAAAAAGCTCAAGCTAAATCCACACAAATAAATTGTTCGCTATAATGTGCTCTTTAACGTAACAACGCTCTTTTTTTATTTTTATTGCCTAGCGCTAGAACATAGCGGGGGGATAAAATAATAACAAAATTCTCGGTTTTGATGTATTATTAATAAAAATATCAAAAATGTAACTTTGAATCTTTCTGTGCATATTGTGGCACAACATGTAGATACGTCTTTGATGTTTTTAACAATAAATCAAAAATGAAAATTTTGGTATCACTTTAAGTTTCCTGCTACGCTCCAGACAATAAAAAGAGCGTTGTTACGTTAAAGAGCACTTATAACGAACCCGAAAAATAGGTTTGCTGATTCAAGAGTTATTGCAGCTTGAGCTTATGTTTTTACAGTATACTAAAAATCTTGATTAGTGATCATCCTGCACTATATACACAAAAATAGTATATATAATGTACTGTACGGAAGATATTTTGGTACGTACGTACGTACGTTATATTTTATAAAATTTTGAAATGACACGATACAGTACGAAAATATATTAATATAAAGATACCTTCGTACTGGATTGTGTAGAATGTGAAATAATATAAGTTATTGCATGCGAAGTATGCAATAACGGTTTTATTAAATGATTTACTATCTCAGTTTATGAAATACGATCAATATTTTATCACGTAAAAATACCATAAAATAATTGATTTATTTTATAACTTGCCACCCCTGGTGATGTTACCCACCCTACAATTTAATTTTACATATAAATAATTTACATTTTAACTTAATATAGCCTGTATCCTACCTCTAATCTTTAAGAATAATTTATTATAGACTGACCATAGTAAAGCATTGAATAAAGATCAATACAGTACGAAACTATGTGTGTATCGTAAATACCAAATCGCTAACCACCAATCGGGGCATGGTTACGGATAATTAACCTTCCGATCTTATTTTATTTTGACACATCTGTGCAATGTAAACTGTCGACTTTCCTTATATCGAACTTTTTATAAAGAGCTCACTTTATAATAAGCTTTTTTTAACAAATTTATTACAGAGCCAGTATAGAACATAGTATATAAAGTTACCTGTATATAAATTTTTTCTTTTTATTTGTTTGCTATTTATACAGTATTTTAACAACAAATAAAAAATATTAGTATTTCTATTATGGTTTTTTGTTATTTATTTTTATTTTTTTATCTTTTTTTTTTTTTTTTACTTTAGCAATCCTATCTTTATTTTTATTATTTTTACTTTTTTTTATTTTTTTTTTACTTTAGCAATCCTATCTTTATTTTTTTTTATTGGCAACAATTTACAGAAATGTATTCAGTTGGCTAAATCTATATTATATACTATTAATTCTTTTTGGTTTATATAATAAAACTTCTTTTAATCTATCTCATTATTTTAGTAAAATCTTAGCAAATCATAATTTTATGTTAGAGGCTTGTTTAGAAGCAATCTGCCTAAATGAATATTTTTTTCTTCTAGGATTCTTAACTTTTTGAAAATATAAGTCTTAGATATTGATAGATAGTTTTTACTAACCTTGTTAGAATTACTGCTTTACAATATATTATGAAGTTTTGAAAGCATTAACTAGCAAAGGATAATATTTTGTTTAGCAAACCCTATATTGTTTAATATTTTTAGTAATAAAATTAGTGTTAAACAATAGAAGTAAAATAAATAGCTAATAAATAGCTATTTATTACACTTTATTGTTTAATATTAAATGATATAGAATTTATTAAGCAATATATTACACTATATTAATTAATATTTTTAAAACTTTGTAATATAAAGTATTGTTAATCTGATAATATTTTCTTGTAGAGAAGTAAAAAAAAATAAAAATATAATAAAAAGATGTTGTATATAAACAAATAAAATATCTAAATTATAAAAGAATCTAAAAGCTATTTTAAAATCTATAAAAACTTGTCTATAAATAAAAAAATATACTAACTAAATAAAAACCTATCTATATAATTATAGAAATACTAATATTTTTTATTTGTTGTTAAAATACTG